AAAAAAAAAAAACCCTTACACCTTTATGACAAGATCTAAATAAAAATTTGTTAATAAAATGTATAGGTCTTTTTCCCAAGTCACATTGCAATTTATATCCAAATTGCTTTTACTAGTTTACACCGTGGAATCCTAATGGATGATAACTTAAATATGACTCAGCAGTGTGTGGCAACAACCCAAAAAGTGAATACAATCTTTGGTTATATAAACAGAGACATAGAATCAAAATCACATCAAGTATTAGAATCACTTTATAGCCTTAGTAAGGCCACACCTGGAATATTGCATCTAGTTTTGATCACCACATTAAAAAAAGATATTGAGACTTTGGAAAATTGCAAAGAAGAGCAATTAAAATGATTAATGGCCTGAAGACAAAAAAAGAATTGTTTCAGGATTTGGGTTTGGCTAGTTTAAAGAAAAGAAGGAATAGGGAGGACATGATAGCAATGTTCCAGTTTCCAAGGGGCTGCCAGAAATAGGAATGGGTCAACTTAATTTTCAAAGCACCAGAAGGCAGGACAAGAAACAAGGGATGGAAACTAACCAAAGGGAGAAGCAATCTGGAATTAAGGAGAAACTTTCCTAACAGTGAGAAAATTAACCAGTGGAACAGCTTGTGGTCAGAAGTTGTAGGTGCTTCATCACTGGAATTTTTTAAGAGACTGGGCAATCACTTGTCTGAAATGGTATAGGGTCTCCTGCTTGAGCAGGAGGTTGGACTAGAAGATCTCAAGGGTCTTTCCAGCCCTATTCTGATGGGTATGTGTTGGTGTACAGTACTTTCTGGTACATTTCCTTCTCTATTATATTGCCTTTTTCAAGGTACGTTTGGTTTTCTAATCATGTGTTTAATTTCTTTGGTTTACCATTTAATCCTTTTCTGCCTCTGTAACTGCTTATGCTGGAAAGTAAGAACTGAAGTGGAGGTAAATCACATAGGGTAAAGTGAAGATATGCATCTGAGCAGTCGGGCATTGGATGAGTTGCTTCTCATTCTGCTCCCGAGTTTCCCCTTCTCCTCCCAGTTCAGGACCTGTGGTGCCCACAGGCTCCACAAGCGCAACCTCCCCGCCACAGAGCCCAGCCAGGAAGCTCCCGAGTCCTACCCGCATGGAAGGCCAATTTGCCGTCTGCCCCGCCGGCTCACCTGGGTCGTTGTGGGAGTGGGGCACCACGAAGACCTGCAGCGGCTGCGCATCCCACTCGTGGGGCTCGTAGGTGATCTCGAAACCCTGCTTCCACGCCCCGCCGTCCTGGTTGTCGTAGGGCAACAGCGCCGACACCGCCAGCATCTGCGGGCGGAGGTTGGAGAAGGCAGGTGCACCGGGCGCCCCCCGCCTACCCCCCGCCTCTCTTCTCCCCCCCCCCGCCGCTCACCTGCAGGGCGGGCTCGGGGCGGGCGGCGCGCGGGCCGAGCCGGCAGTCTCCGGGCGCCACGGAGAAGAAGCCAGGCCGCCCGTCGGCGGGCAGCGCCCAGGAGCCATTGGCCAGCCGGAGGGGCAGCAGCGCGCTCCGCCCCTCGTGCCCGACCGTCAGCTCCAGTACTGAGTCCTTGATGCGCCCGATGATCTCGTGGTTCTCCTCCAGGAGCTGCTCCAACTGCTCGATGCGGCTTTGCAGCGCCGAAATCTGGCTCTGCGGGGGGGGCGCCAGGTCAGCCTGGGGGACCCCCGCCCGCCCCCACGCCCGCGCCCCCACGCCCGGACTCACCCGCGGCAGGTGCCCCCCGGGGAGGGGCCGGGCGGGGTCGCGCTGCACGTGGTCCAGCATCAAGTAGAGCGAGAAGACGGCCACGCAGAAGACGGCCGCCCCGCACACCGTCACCTGCTTCTTCAGCTTCATCGGCCGCCGCACCGCGGGGCCTCGTAGCCCCGACCCAGCTCCTCCGCGGCCCGCCCGGCTCTCGCCGCCGACGCTCCTGCCCGCGTCGCCTCGGGAGGCGCACCGCCGCGGTCACAGCGGCCCCTGCCGGCCCGGCCAGAGCGGGCGGCCCGCCGCTCCCCGTCCCGCGCCCCCGGCCTCGCCTCTGCCCTGACAGGCTTGTGGTGGCGCCTCCCGACCACGCCGCTGCTCTTCCTGCGAGGCCGAGCCGGCCCCCGGAGTGGATCCGCGCCTTGGAAGCGCGTGAAGGCAAGTGGGCCGCCGCCTCGTCCCCCAAAGGCCTACCGCAAGACCGGCCTGGGGATCCTCGGGGGCAGGCTCCCTGGCTTGGCGCCCGTGGCTGCTCCGTTACTGCTTATGTGGCTTGACGTTCGGGTCCCGCAAGGGTTACGCGAGGGCCCGGGAGGCCCAGCTGCCCGGCTAAGGGCTACGCTCCTCGCCGTTTCTGCCAAAGGCCTGAAGCAGCCGCGGTTGAGCCTCTCCCGGAACCTCGGGATAGGCCCTGCGGGCTCTTAAGGAAGACTTCGGGGGCCCTGCTCTCTCTTTAGCCTAAAGTGCCAGCCAGGGGCGCCCTGGATGAGCCCTAAAATTGGCTTAATAATGACCAAAACTTTTGCCATCTTTATCTTCCCGCGAACTGGCATATTAAATAGCCTCAAAGATGAGAGAGACAAAAAGAGGAAAGCATGAATGTATAATTCACAATGGCGAATCAGCCATATACATCACCAGGGTGGTGGAGAGGGCAGAACCAGGATTTGGTTCTCCTGCAGGATTTGATCCTTGTTGGATCACTCTGGGGTAGGCTGTTGTTATTGGCCATGGCAGTTAAAGGAAAGAAGGTTTTGCCAATAGACCACTGATGTGGATTCCTGATTCTTTGAGAGGCTTTGGCTTGGAACTATAAAGACAAGCAGTGCTGCAGCTTTCCTAGGAACCATGATGATTTGGTTGTGTTTCATTGGGCCTGGCCTCCTTTAAATCCTTGGTTGTGTGTGGTCATGAGGATCTGAACAGATGCTGCTATATCCTGGTTGTAAATGGTGAATATTGTGGCGTGTTTGGGATGAAATATTCCTTGCTTTGTTTCTGGTATAATGTGGTGCTTCTGTAACCAGTTTCATCATTTAAACCTACCTCCACTCCATCACAGTGAAGTGTTTATAAAATACAAAGCCTCTTACCCCTTGAATTCCTTCTCTGAAGCTTCATATCTTATATATCTTATTTGAGGTGAAGATTGGGGTTTGCAATTAAGCGTACATTTTTGAGGATATAATCCAAACTTTATAATTATTATCAATTTTAGAGAAAATATAAATGACTTCAAAGACCAAAGCTTTAGGGCTCTCTGGCCACCACTACTGAGTGCTTGGCAGGTGACCTGATTGGAGATGGTCTGTGTGACTAGAAAGATATACCAAGAATGAAATGCCATTGTTTGGGATGTCAGCACCGCATGGGATTTAAAATGTGTCCATGCAGACATCCTGAAATCAGCATTCTCACCGTTACTTCTTCTGAATCATAACCAGATCTTGGAGTATGGTACTGAAGCTGGGTCGTTTCTGTGGTTTGTATTCCCAACACTTTAACATGAGCTGGTATACTTCTTCGGGACACTGGTCTGGAGCATTCAGACGAATACCTGGCAAAAGGGGCAACCAGGTTATAGAAGGGATTTCTAACAAGCAACAAAGCACCTTTTCACAGCTCAATATTTTCCTGAGAATTAAAATCAATCAATCAGCCAATCAAATTGGGCAGACAAACCAGCCAATCACAAACCTGATTATGGCAGTTAAATTTATGTGGCTGATCTCTGTGCTAACCAATTTTTAAAGTAATCCTTAAGGAAAGGCACATTCACATTTCCTTGCAGTAGTACAGTTCATCTAGGAATGACCTTAGCTGGCAAATCAGCCAGAACTGATAAAACCGTTTTTCATACCATTGAAGTCAGCAAATGAATGTTAATTGTTGAAATCCAACACTGAATAATAGTGATTTTATCTTCCAAGTATCTTCATGATTAACAGCAAACCTGTCTGTAGTTTGATGTTCTCTTTTTATATATTTAGTTCCTTATACTTATTTAGTATAAACCTTTAACCAGGAAAAAGCCTTGCTGGGACATGAATTGTGAAATGATTTTTGTTTCGGATATCACCACCTGTCATTCAGTTTTACTATATGAAAAGAGCCTATGAGGGAAACCAAGCGGGCAGACCATTTCATACTCCAAAGTGATCCCACTTTGCCAGCATATCAAGTGAAGATCCCTGAAGATTTAGCAATTTGCCAGAATGTATTATATTTTGGTGTGTGTGTGTGTGTGTGTGTGTATGTATGTATGTATGTATGTATGTATGTATGTCTTTGGTTATTCGGGTTTTCTCCTGCGGGAGAATTCGGGTTTTATATATATATATATATATATATATATTTATATATTTTTATATATATAGGTTTTCTCCTGCGGGAGAATTCGGGTTTTATATATATATATATATATATATANGAAATGTATTTGTAACCAATCGACACGCTTTCTACAAGATGTAACAAAGGATGATTCTTTTTTGTGTTTTTTTCATTAAAATAATAAAACTTTTTTTAAAAATGGGATATTATGAAGGCAATATAAACAAAATGCAGGATCAGAAAGAAATCTGCATGATGATGAGCATATCTTCAGTAACTAAGGATTTCTGGATAAAATATAAAACTTTTTGTTAACACGCGCTAGTAACTGGAAATTTAAAGAAAAAAATCAACATTTTAGAAATCGACAAAATATCAACCCAAATTTTAATATAAAATGCTCTAAATTTGACAATAAAACTTATTGGCAAATAAGTTTAAAAAATTATATGAAGCCAATGCAAGGTATTAAAAACCCACCATCACAAATACTAATAATATTAGTAAAACGTACTCAATTTTTAGGCTCTCCATTTTCATATTAAGAAGCTGATTATAATTTTGAAAATATTAAAAATGGAGAGTCTTCAGGTCCTAATAGGTTAATAGATTCTACAAGACATTCTTGCTACACCAGCATTTTTCTCATTAAGCAAAATCCCAGCACAACCCGAAAATTAGCTTAATTCCTAAACTAGCTAAAGATCTGATAGAAGCTTCTTACAGACCTATCTCCAGGGGTGAAGATTCTGTAGTGGGATGTTGTCCAGATTCCGGTAGGGATGGGACAAGTGTCAAGGTTCTAAATATCATCCAAAATAAAATAAGAATCCAAGGCAAGAGATTCCTCAAAGCTCCAATTTATTAAAAGAGCCATGTTGGCACATCTGGGAAAAACTGAATCTGAAAGCTTCCCGGTTTCCCCATCCAGTTGAAAATTCAAGACCCTGCTCCAACACCCACAATGTCCATCACATGGTCCAACCATCATTGCCACGAATAAAGATTCCTCCCATCCACATCTGTCCAGGTGCAGGGATGAGTGCAAATGACTTTCTTAGAAGGAATGTTATTTTGGCTACACATCTGCCAAGCTCCATACGATCCCCCCTCCCAGTTTCCCATAGTTACTATGTTTGAATATGTGGCAGGCTTGAGGCCCAATACCCCAATGACTTCCAAGCCTGACAGGCTGCCCCTCTTCAACAGAAGAGTGTGTCCTGTAATGAAAGTAACACACGGGGTTAATCAGTTACTTAACCACCTCCCCCACCCCGGGGGATCCTTTGGCTTACCCATGTAGCTTCTGACAAAGGGTACCCTTTCCAGTGAACTAAGTATTGTAATTGAGTCCTATACAACTTAGTGTCTAGAATCTTCTTCACTTCATAAAGGGTTTCCCCCTGTACTACTGTAGGAGAAGGTACAGTCTGGGTCTGAGGTCGTAACCTAGATCCCAGGGTCAGTTTTAGTAGGCTACAATGAAACACAGGATGTATTTTCCCTAAAATGCAGGGGAGATTGAGCTGGACTGTCATAGGATTGATTACTTTTGTTATTGGGAACGGGCCTAAAAACCTAGGTCCCAATTTGTTGCTAGGTAATCTTAGAAAAACTTTTGTCTCCCACTCGGAAGGGGGGCTGAAGGGAACGATGCTTGTCTGCTTGTTTTTTATATCTTTTTTTAAAGTTTTTTTAAATTTTAATTGAACAAAAACACAAAAAAAAGAATCATCCTTCATTACATCTTGTAGAAAGCGTGTTGATTGGTTAC